ATATAGTATTTTTCTAGTACACAAATTGAGAAAACAGAGTCAAATTGTGATGGTGATGTAGAAAAGTAATAACTTTTAATAGAGTGATAATGTTATACAAAATAATGTATAATATCTTACTATTTCCATCCTGGACAATTTCATGTTTAAACTTAATAATTTCATTTTCGATAATGCTGATGAATTCAGTTTTAGGTTTTCTTCCTCTATTTTCACCTGTCATTTCTAGTAAACAAACTACTTACTAAACATGCGTATTTAATATGTAATATTTTGATGTAATTGATAAATTGACAATTAACTTACTTTTTAAATTGAAACTGCAACAAGGAAAGATAATAAAAACGATTTTATAAAAATACTGTTGTCAGTATGCACAATATTTCACTGTAAGCTAAGCTATACTAAATCAAAAATAAATAGTTTTTATAAAAATCATGGTATGCTGTGGAAATCACAAATATTTAATACTATACAGTTATATATATATATACATAATACATAACTGGTATAAAAATAAACATCGGTTAATATTATGTTCTATATATGATATACCTAGGTATATGATATTCATATGATGATAATAAATTGTATTTCAATAATAAGCTATTCTTAATAATCTATAAATACCAAAGACATGGTCAAATGATCATTGATTAAGGAGTGCATAATAAAGGTTGAGGAATGTTTCAAAACTAATAATTGCATAAAATTATTATTACTATTAAGTAGGTACAAGGTACCTATCAAAAATCACCAATTTCCTCGGAGAACAAATAACTAAGTTTACGACGACCTAGAAAATAGTATCACTCAGCCAAAACCATTAAAAAATGTTTTAAAATAATATACACTTTAAAAATATCAATAATACAATTTTTATACTTATAAATAGACCATATTATTCAAAAGCAACAATAACGAATAATAAACATTTATTTTCTAAAAGTGTAAAATATATTTAATAACATTAATTAATAATTAGGTACCATTGAATATTGGTTATTGCAGTGAATAATTATTTTACCTACACTGTCCTACAGCAATACCTATGTACTTTATTGTAGCACGGACATGGTAAAATCGCGTTTTCTCGGGTTCGGGGAAGTGTACAAAATTTAATTTTAGATGTACAAAATTGTACAAAATAAAGTACATAATACTGAATAAGTTTGAATTTTAATTTCAAACATGGCAGTGGTGGGGATGTAGGGTACATTGATTGTCTGGATATTGTTTGCAAATATTTATGATGGAAATTGCTCTGATTAGGCATATTATAATTAGTGATACATATATTATTTGGAAGAGGGTTATTGCTTATTGATATATATATAGTTTTATAATTTTTATGCTTGGTATAGTGTCTAGATATTCAATATGCCATGCACCATAAACGACAATACAGGAATACAAGATACTAATTAAATTAGGTTAGGAAATTAGCATAGGTATTATAGAAACTGGCCAAACATTACTTAACAAAATATTTTTTAAGTATCCTCTCAGCTGTTATAGTAGTTGCCTATATTTTACTCCTAGAGTGTTAAGATTAATATTTAATAATATTATGAATAATATAGGAGAATATAGATAAATTATTCACAATATCAAAGAGCGACGATAACAATTTGAATGCTACTATTTTACTATTTCAATAGGAACATGGAATGTTTAAGACAAACAGATTGCATTATTGCATATCGAATTCCCATAATATGACCGATGAGACGGTGAACAATTCACCCGTTCACCAATAGTTACTATAGATAGTTTCTACCTGAAACACGCACCATGAGGACAATTTTATACTTTTATAGTTTCTATTTTGTAATTTAAATAAAAATAAAAATAATAAATGATAATATACTAATACTATATATTCATATTATACTATATAGTATATAGGATAGGCATATTGCAGTGTTAACTAACCTAACCTAACCCTTCAGGGGTGGTCATTAGGCCCCATCACCTGTCCAAGTATTCCAAAAAACTTCTGAAAGGTAATAAAAGTACCTATGTTTTAAGAAAATAAATAATTTATATTTTAAAATAATCTCACCTCTAGACTATCTTGGTTAAATTTTACTGTTAAAACATATGTAAACCCACAGTAATTTAACAGGTAATTTAACAAGCCTATAGTAAATTGTAAAATGATTTTTTAACTTTCATATGTTGAACGGGTTAGGAAATCATTTTCTCCTATTAATCCATTTGTTAAATTTAGTTCCAATGGTCAAACCATTCAACTGTTTGGTGTAGAATCTGTTAGATTAGACACTTCTTTACTTCTGAACCACTCATTATTTCAAAACCTTGAATAGTTATTGAAATAATGAACGGTTCATAGAAAAAAAATCAATATCTATAACATTTAATAAACTTGCTTTTTATGACATGTAGGACAATCTATAAGCTACTTTGAACAGTTATCTTATAACTCAATTTAATACATAGGTAATATATTAAATTTCAAAATTAGTAATAATAACAAACCCAACATAGACCCTGAGAGACATACAAGTATACAACACTTAGAAAACCTTTAATTCATGACTATTTTTCAGAACTCCCTCAGCTGGATACTTTCTGTTTATAGAATAAAAAAAAAAAATCATTTACTATGAGAATAAAATTAACGGTTTATTCTTAGTCTTTAAAACCTTCAATATTTTCAGTTCAATGAAAATGTAATCCTACAGCTGTTTTTTAGATCTGCTAAAAATTTAAATATTTTACCAAAGTGCAATGTATTTCAATATTTGTTAACAACATTATTAGTTATTAATGTTAAAAAAAAAATAGACTAGTACAGCTTATTAATTTTTGTTTTTGAAATATCATTTAATTCAAAATTATTTTTTGTTAATATTGGACAGACTTTAGTGAGGCTGCTACCTTTTGTTATAAAAATATTTAAATTGTGCTCCCAGGTCCCAATTTGATGGAGGGTTTAGATGGATTAACCTAAAATCAAATTAATAATATTCATTATTCACTTGATTGTTCATAAGTGATCAATAGTATGTTGTTTTTAAATTTACAATAAAAGTTTTATTTTGAAACAATCAATTTCTCATGTTCTTCAAATGATACCTCTTATCAGAAAAAAAAGATTTTCTGGAGGTTTTTTTTTTACAATCCTTAGATTGGTTAAATGACTTTGATGGCTCTCCACTTATCCCTATCCGTTACAAGTACTTTTAGTTCCTTATAGTTGGTTTTCCCTATATCGTCTATGATCTGTTTCATAAATGGTGTTCTTGATCTACTTCTTCCAGCTTTTCCTTCTATTTTTGTCGTTATGTCAATTCCGGCTTGCTGCATATTAATATTTTTTAATATTTTTGTCTTGCTCTTATTTATTTTCACTTTGTATTCTTTCTGGAAGTATCAAGCGGATTTTCAAAATCTTTTTTTATCTTTCAAGTTAGATAAATTAAAATTTGAATTTATTTTGAACCTAAAAAATTATTAATRCTCCCAATACATTTTTATAGTGTGGTTTGTTGATGAGGTATTGAAACGCTTTTACGATAGATACAAATAAAATGTATTCATAACTTATTTATTGTTTATGTTTCTATTTAATGATAAAAACTTTGCGATAAGTTATATTTGATCAATCAAGTGAAACAAAGCCTACAAGTATATCTATATAAATATAAAAAGTATTATTAATAAATAATAATATTATTAGTAAAAAAATTTGCCTAATTTATACGTTTATAAATATAATATGATATGAAATCATTAAATACATTATCATCACAAGTTTAAATTAATCAGACAAAAAAAAGAACTTTTAAACAATTAAATATCTAAATATACGAGCAATTGTGTTATATCAAAATTATGACATAAGAGACAAATGACTTATTAGTAATAGGATATTTGGGGCTTAAAATGTTTATGTGTTAAGTATAGGGAACCAAGCAATTTAGTCGATTATCTATATCTGTGACATGAGGAGGCCATAGATTACAGGTTAAGAATTGCTGATACGTAAAATACTACGACAATTGGATAAACAAATAATATTTTTCTTTTCTTTTCTAAATAATGATTACTCTCATCAATGTTCAATTTAATATTCACTATCTAAATATAGTTTATATATATTATATTTTGCAAGAATTTGCAATTTCACCAGGGCTTGGGTTTTATAGTATTTGCTAATATTGTAATAGGATAAATAGCAGAATGAGCAATACATTTGTTTTAAGCGCCAAGGACTCTAAGTATACAATTTTATACCCCTATTTTTTTTGCATATTCAAGTATCTAAGGTTTTTGGTGCTATTTTTTCCTAATTTGTATTTACGTGAATCTAGTTTAGATTACATTGTATAAAAAAAAGTAAACACCCACATTTTTGTTCTTATTAAAATTTATTTTTAAAGCAGAAAGTTATTGAACAGTAAACAATTATGACTCCTTATCAGTTTCACAGCATGCATTTATATATTTTTGCCTAGAATATGGTGTCGTACATTTGTAGATTTGTTTTTTAAATTTTGAACAAAATACATTTTCAGTTTTGCTAATTTTCATGTCTTTAGGATGTATTATAGCGCTTATTTTAAGATTTGTTGAGTCGTATTATAGTGTATATTTCAGTTATTTTTAGTGCTATAAAATTTTAGGCCTGGTTATTACTATACAGTCATAAAAAAGTATATAGGTATTTCCACAACACTGTGAAACACATTTCCCTCAATTCCTACCAAKTGTTGAGTTCTGCCTTACACTAGTCACATACTATATTAAAGTATCAAAGTGTAGAAGTTATAATATGATATATGAAACCAGAATCTATGTTATTACTAATATTATTCTAATTGTTATCTATTGTCTAAATGTAATTTAATCAACAATAAGTTAAAATGACTTACGTTAGTAAAACTTTATTTAATAATAATAAAAAAAAATAAATTATATATGAAAAAGTGGAAATGCAAATATAAGATTTAAATTTATATTATTGTTGTTGATATACCTATGTAATTTTTCATGTATACATAATATTTTATTATACCTTTACTTTATTTTAATCACTACAGAAACCCAGAAATACTGAGAAATTTTTTAAGAGGACACCTTTTTTAAAGGGCTTATTTTGTTTTGATTGGATTTAAGTGACATACATTAGCAGAAATCTTGTGAATAATTGTTGATCGATAGTGTTTTTATTTTAGCAACGATGAGATGAAAAATGACATTCCTGCATTACATAATATTACCTAAAAAAAAGCATAAAATCAATTAGGTATACATATTACAAAGAATAAATTTATAAAAAAACATATATAAATCAAAAAAACATATAAATCAAAAAAACATGCTTTGTTATATTTAGCTTATTAACATTTTTTTGTATTAATTAGGTTAGGTTAGGTTAGGTTACTAATTTTTTATTATAATCAAATTACCATTGTTCAAGTTATTTTTTTTATTCGTTAAGTAAAATTAATATAAGCAAAAAGGTAAGTTTTTTTAGTTTAATGTTAAAAATTAATATTCCTTAATTTAAATTAATAAATATATAATATATATTTTGTTTTAAAAGCTAACAAATACACTATAATTTAATAGGAGTTTAATAGAGGTGTAATTTCTTACAATTTAACAAAATGTATGTATTGAAATAAAATGCTGTAGCCTGTAGGTAATTGTATACTTTTATCAATAACAAAATAATTGTTGTGTATTTGTTTACATAAAGGTCCACAACTACTGTACTAAATCATGATAGTTAAATTCATTAGAATATAATTAATTACCCACATATTATAGTATAAAATATGATCCAATTTTGTTGTCAATTTTATGAACGAATACAAATATAGTAATAACTAATAAGTAAAAACTATTAATTAATAATAATTATGGAGTATACAAACATGTTTGGGATACTGAGCAAATAGCTTTATTTTCTTTTTCAATTCTTATATAATTGTATGTTTTTTCTTCTGATATTTATTAAATATTTTACTTAAGAAAATTATAAACTACTTACATGTTCAATCAACAGCTTTATTGGTTCAAAGTTAAACATCTTAACAATTCTAATGTTGTTGGTACATATCTATAAATTGTGTACAAACAGTTAGATATATTATGATTGTTTTTTGATGTCTGGACTTACATACATGGTTGCATACGAACTACTTATTGGCCATAAATGGATCAGTCATATTCACATTTTATTCCACCATATTTTCAAGCTTAAATGATTTCAATATTATATTTGAAATATTATCCAGTATATTAGTTGTATATCTCTAAAAATGTACAAGAATAAAATAAATTATTAATAGGGCTGTGAATTTAATGCACTAAAAAACCTTAAAAAATGCAATAAAATATGCACTTAAAATGCAAAATATGCACTTCAAATGCAAAAAAAATGCCAAAAATAATAGTATAAAATTCATTTTAAATGGTTTTTAATTTAATTTTTATATTTATATTAATATTAGGTACAGGATATTAAACATTAGTACAAAAAAGTGTTTATTTAATAAAAAAAGTTGATTGAATCTGAATTAAGTAACCTGAAACATTAAAAAAAATTGTTTGTTTATTTTGTTAAAATAATAAAACAAACTTAAAGATATTTGTTTCTGGGTACTTGACATAATATATACAGCCTGTGTAAAATAAAAATAAATGTTTTCAAACAAGTCAATTGACGGAATTTGGAAAAATGCTAGAAAATGAATTAAAAAAGCAAAATATGACCTAAAATGCGAAACAATTACCTAAAAACTTAAAAATGTAAAAAAATGCACAAATATGCAAAATAAAAGTTTCATAGATGTATTCGTAATTACATAATTCAAATTATGTACTTACAAAGCTATATTTTACAATCACAAAAAAAAAAAATGCACTTTCCTATAAATTCACAGCCTTGATTATTAAGGAATTTTATACATGATTAATCATAAATTATAATAATTAGTGATTTGATGTTTAAGAGTACCAATATAAATATTTGCATCATGTTATATTTTTATTTAGTATTCCATATTAACCTTATATTATTAGTTTATTATTTATTTATAATTTAATGAGTATTACATACTTTTTAATATATATATATATATCTTTTACATTTAAAACTATATTTACAAAACAATACAAAATTCAAAAAAAATTTAGGTTAAGACCTACAATTGATGCAATGTCGTGAGGTTTATATGAAGCATTAAATAAAAAATGTTGCGAAAATCTATGACAGACATTTTCTATTAAGTAAGTCTTAATTGTATGAGGATTTCAAATAATAGAGCCATACTGAAGAATCAGACGAACTAATGAGCAATAGTGTTTTAACGATATGTTAAGTCTTAAATCCAATGCAATCTTCATTACAAAATCTAATGTTTTATTAAAATTATTAATATTATATTGTAAATTGCTTAAAATAAAATAGAAATAGAAAAACTATATTATTATTTTATATAGGTACATAAAAAAATTGTACACACTATTAATAATTGAACATGAATGTTACTGCTATAAAATAAATATTTTCTTATTTAATTAGTTATGATGTACCTATACACTTCTACTACTATTATTGGTGTATGTATTAAKAAATTGTTAATAGTTTTATTAGTATTGTTACGATTACCTATTAATTGTAAGTATTTTTACACTTCATGAAATTCTACATTCTAAAAATAATAAAAGAATTGGATTTATTTTAAACAAATCAAACCATTTGTCCATAAATATTGAGTTGAAAACAAAAACAAAAATCATGTTAACTATTAAAATAAAACACAGTGAAATTATACTTTACTCATGTTTTGTCGCATGTTGCTTCTGCATCTTGGACACAACTTGATGCTACAAGTTATGTATTTGGCACTATCTACCACCAATGTTCTCCATAAAATCACATATATTTGCTTAGGTTCAGCATAGGATAAAAATCTATATGCATATAATATGAAGTTTAAGCAAAATTATTTTTTTTAGCTATATATATAATATCAATAGTTTTTAATAAAAAAAGTATCATGGTACCAAAATGCTTGTACTCCAATGAAGTCGTTCTCATTATCGCTTAACCGGTGCTATAAATCTAAAATAAATTTCAATAATCTATTTTATGTACTTGTAAAAAATAATATTATATATTCAGAACCAGTGACGCACAGAGGTATTTTAAGAGCAATCGCAGTTAAAAAAAGTTAGTCACCCACTCACTCATTTTTTTTATTTATTAAAAATATTTTCACTTATTAATCACCATAGTTTAAGGAAATTAATTATTTTAATAAACTATAGTTTATGTTATAAATGTATAAACTTTTMTGTAACACTTGCAGCAATAAAATTTGCCCATCCCTTTTGAAAACACACGCAGTCAGTGGCGAAACAAACTTAAAATAATCCATAAGTAAACTTACCACACCCTCCCACCGACTTACCAGCTATAGGTACCTATTATATATTATACTCACGGCACCCACCCACCCCCAAACCATAAAAAAAATCGAGAAGCAATCGCTTCTCAAAGACTGCGGTCGTTTCGCCACTGCACGCAGTTGCATTACTTGTTAACCTGCTCGGGCGCCACTGTTCAGGACAATAAAATTTAAGATCTATATTACTGGAAAAATTTCTGACCATCAACTATCAAGCTGCCGGCTTACAGTTTCATTACATTTGTCACGTTTCAAGCATCCACGAATTGATAATGTTTGTGTAGGAACAAGGACTGCTGTAACATCATGTCACGATTGATTTGGTCAAATTATATTTGGTTCGCATTATCAATGAGTGTGATTGAAGAAAGTATTATTAAACACTGACACACTGCATAACAAACAATAGAATATTATGTACTTATAAGTTAAAGGATAGGTAATATCCATTACTTTTGTGCCAGCAGTACTCACATTTTAGAATAGTTTAAGACGAATCTCAAATGTTTGTGAAAATCCGCCGATTTGCCTCCGAATTCTAAATGCACTCAAATACTATAAATTGAATACTCGTAAAATATTTGATATTTTGATGTAAGTGTAGAGTATTCGAGTGCCATGTATTAAAACAGCACTGAGTTCGAAATTTGAAATTTGAAAAAACTTTATTATCTATGACCGCTCAATTTTGATAAGGCGGGTAACCTCAAAACTGCATATCTTATTGCCTATGCGTATTTTAAAAGGGGTTTTAATAAACATTTTTATTTTTCAGATATATTTGAAGATTCAAGAGGGACAAAAAATTATAATTTATTAGATTATACAATTTAATATTGATTATGACAATTGACAGTAACTAGCCGATCCTGTAATGAAGTACAAGAGACAGATTGCGAAATGCCCAAGGATTTAGCATTACTTAAACTCTGTTAAATGTAAGCTGCACTTTAAAATAGTTTTATTWTTTTTTTTATTATTACAGCCGAGTCGCGATAACTAGAAAAACTTGACAACTCGAATTTTTTTTTTCAATCGCCAAGAAAATTCTCCTCCTATTAATCAGTTAGATATCTCGAAGGGAATTTTTATCCCGCTTCAACTTCGAGTTATCGACTGTAATATTTGATTAGCTATTTGTTAGTGACTATGATAGCCTGACAATATAAATTTAAATACTACAAAATGATTATAATAATGATAATAAATAAAAAAATTACAAACATTAAATAACGAAATCAGCCTCCGATACTAAATTAATACTTCTAATTTTAACATAGTTGGACTGGTTTGAACATATTTGTGTTGGTTAGATCAAGTATAAAATACAGGCTTAAAATTATATTCAATCATAATAACTATTTAAATAACCAGGGAATATTATAATTGAATGTTTGTCTCATCACTAAGTATCAGAAAAACAATATTGATCAAAAATTTTCATTTTGTACCATATATTATATATATTTATTTTAATACCATGCTAATAAGTCTAATTAATGAAATTTTAGGAGTAGTATTGTGCAAACAGATCCTCCTCTGCTGTCGGTTCTAACGGGGRAAAAAAAATTAATAAAATTTTAGATTGTGARTGGAGTGATTTTAAAACGTAGTGTACATTTTTTTTTTGACATTGAGTATTAAATAACACTTATTTATTTTCTTCAATATATTTTTCAGATTTAGTTGCAATTCAAAAACGTATAACTGTAGATACTTGAATTTATACTACGAGTAATTAATGTTTATTTTATAATTTTCTATAGGTACCTAATACAATTTCCATAATATTTTGAATAATTTTAAGTTATTTATAGACATTACATATTTTGAATTGTTTTTTCTATACATTTCGAGACAAATTCTATCGATAAAAATAAATACCCAACTAAGTATGGCTCGGTGCGTTCGTGCAATGTGAATGCCCTCATACTCATCCCACAATATGGGTATTTTTATAATTTATATTAATATACGTCATATTATAACATCACTAAAACCTAATAATGTCCAATTTAAATAGTATTTCAGTTGAGAGGTTATTTTTYCAAAAATCCAAATATTTGGTTAAAGGACTCTTTAATTTCCTTACTGGGAGGCATGCATCGAGATTTACTCGAGGGAAATTTAAAAAAAATTCTMGCTAATTCTTCATATTTTTAATTTTTTGTGTACGAAAGTAAAAGTTTAATCATGTATAATTAAGGACGAATCCAAATGAAAAGGTATTGTAAAAAAATATTTTTTCCAGAGGGTGGTGAAAAAAACCATTTGCATAAAACCAGAACAACAAAATTTGTTTTGGTTCTAACACAGCTACATTTTATATAATATACATGATTAATGACAATAATAAATAACATTATATTGTAATTTTGGTAGGTATAACGTGTGGGTGATTTAAGGGTTTAACTTTTATTGAGRAAAGTAAAAAAGTAAATTTAAAATTGAATACAGTTTAAAACATGTAGATGYACCTATACAGTRTTATATTTCAACAAAGATTTTAAGCACTTAAATAAAAACTTTCAGCGGGCGTGGAGGCGACGTGAAAATCCCGAAAAATCGTSTGTCTACCATCGATGCCTTTACTTGAAAACTATGCCACGGCCATTATTTATGTTTTTCGAGTGCAGGCACAAAGTTGGATGATTAAATAATCATTACTGGTCTATTGAATATTAAGTTTGAAGACGATCCGATGGAAAAACAATTATTTTAATGAAGATTTTAAATTAATAAAAAATTTAGGTAAGTGCTTATATTATTTCTAAAAATAATGTTAATTTAAAATKTAAAATGTGAGTACCATTATGGACAGTGGCGTATATAGAAATTTATTTCCGGGGGGGTTGAACCCMCTAAATACACCACTGATTAAGGGTAACCAGGTTACCGTAACCTAAAGTATTGGGGTCAATCGCACGTGTCCGCATGTTCTTGTGTAAATCTTACTCTACGTTTGCCTTTGACACATGCGRTAGTTAATGTTATATTTAATTTAGATTAGATCATAGATCGGAATGTTTGGCTATTGATAAAACGATGGAGAGGAAAATGAGTGTTGCATAGATGAGAATTTTAAGGTGGATGTGCGTAGAGTGACGATAGAGGACAGAATAAGATACGAGTGTATAGGAGTGGCTCCAATAGTTGACAAATCGCGTGAGAATAGGTCGAGATGACCAGGACATGTTTTAAGAAGAGAAAAAACCAAGGCAGTTTCAGTGATAGAGAACACGAGTGTGGATGGAGAACGAGGGAGACCGAAAAAGGTTGAATGGTTTCAAGTTATAGAGCGCGTTATGAGGACGACTGGTGTTTGTGTGCAGGATACTAAGGATCGTAGTAAGTGGAATTGAGGACCCGGGTGGYCGATCCCAAATAGTGTTGGGATAGAAGGCGAAGGAAAAGAAGAAGAATTTAGATTAAATTAATCATGGTTGAAATATACGTATATGTATGGATTAAATATCACCCAAGTATAATATCTGAACAGTTTTGAAAAATAACAAACTACTTAACTAGGCTCCTAAGAGATTTTATTATTTTCACAATTAATGTCGATAATTCTACGCCGAGACAATTATATAATTTATAACAAGTCAAAACGTTTTTAGAACCCTAGTCTATTGTTCGCGCTATAAAAGAAATTTATATTATAGTAGGAAGTAGGATGATGATTCGTTTTGTTTTTGCGTGGGTACTGAGATTCATAATATTYTTTTGGTAAACTGAAAACAAATGCATAACTACCCACTATAATAATATAAAGTTGCACGTTACCTACACACGTCACTCACAATAGCAAGATACGCTATATTTCATATTCTACAATATTGGATGTACCCATTAACCAACATTTTATATGGAATAGGTCGATTGCATTATTTTTGATGATATAATGTAATATTTTAATTTTATTGTGAGCTATACAGACGAGAGTGTGTGATCTACAAATTATTGTTTTTTTTTAAAAAAAAAAAGTTCAAACACGTTCTTACTCCGAAAAAGTAGGTGGCGGTCGACAAGATTGATTGTTAAGTACTAMATTTTAAACCATGTGTTATTGGTACATCGTTTTGTATCATAATAAATCATTTAAACAATTTAAAAAATAACAATATTACTCTAAAATCAAACAAACGAAACATTTATTTTATTCCCAAGTCACTGCGATCAGACTATTACGATTATAAAAAATATTTTTCAAAAATGACAGGTAATATTTAAGATAAACATTTAATATTCAGAAAACAACCTTTTTGTTTTTTTAATCCTATTTTAGTTTGATGAAAATTTAAAATTGACATTTTGAAACATTAAACGAAAATATAGGTTAAAAATAATTTGATTTAACTCTTTCGAATAGAATTAAATTATTTTATGCGTGTAGCTAATACATTTACTCGTCATGTATAAATTTGTACTCTGGAATGAAATTTAAATTCAGTTTTAAAGCTGGTATGATTAAATAACGTTTTAATAATTTTAAATTATTGAACCAATAAATATATTAAAAATATTCTGTAGAATT